CTCTGTCGCTTCCCGGCCTGGGTGGGAGGACAGGTACGAAATCGGCAGAGATGTCTCGAAGATGCTTTTAGGGCGTTTGCTTTCAGCGCCTCGGTGCCGTCTCTGCGGCGGGCGGGGCTCTGTCGCTTCCCGGCCTGGGTGGGGGGACAGGTACGAGATCGGCAGAGATGTCTCGAAGATGCTTTTAGGGCGTTTGCTTTCAGCGCCTCGGTGCCGTCTCTGCGGCGGTGTGTTAGAGGGCGGATACCCTGAAGCCTTAGGGCTGGGGCTGGGCTGGGGTGCGGGGTGCTGTGTGGCAGCCGGGAAGGACTCGGGGGAGCCGTGTGTATGCGGGCGTTGGTCTCTGGGTCTTACGCAGGGTTAGCGTTTGAGCTTAGTTCGCCGTCTTGCCTGTACAGACAACGTCAGAAATCAGTGAAATTCTGGGTTGGGAAAAGTGAGAGTGGGGTGGAAGCCAGGTGCTTCAGAAAAGGCGAGTCATAGAGTCACAGACTGGTTTGGGTGGGAAGGGACCTTAATCTAGTTCCAACCCCCCTGCCCTGGGCAGGGACACCTTCCACCAGACCAGGTCGCTCCCAGCCCCGTCCAACCTGGCCTTGAGCACTGCCAGGGAGGGGGCAGCCACAGCCCCTCTGGGCAACCTGGGCCAGGGTCTCACCACCCTCACAGGGAAGAATTTCTTCCTAATATCTGATTGATTCTACCCTCTTTCAGTCAGTCCACTGACCTCAGAGGGAGAACTCAGGGTAAGGTCATGTGGTTTGTCTTATGCCTTTTGTGTAAGGATGTTGCCGAGTGAATAATTTTTGAAGGTTTTATGGTGATTTTTGTTTAGCCTTTTCCTGATAGAAGAATCAAACAGAGCTTCACTCTTAGCTCTGAGGTGAGACTTGAGCTCTCCATACCTAAAGGAATTGATTAAACCATTGGCTGAATATCCTGACTGATAACTGCTTCTCAGGTAAAGCTCTTCAGTTCAGGGAAGAGAACTCTCTTAGGGGTGGCCAAAGTGGGAACTAAGAACTTTTGCTGCCTTCTCTTCCAAGGTAAAGATGCGTTCCTGTAAAGTAGCCTTTTCTAGTAAACGTAAAACTGTATATGAGTAGAAAGACTAAATTTCTCAATTGTAGATTTTTGTGTAACAAGCCTAATATACTTCTGTCTGAGTACTGTTAGTGTCCTTAGGTGGTTTCAGTAAGCGTACTGGTGTCAGGACACCCTTAACATGAGAGCACAGGGTCTGATGAATTTGCTTGACTGCAGGAAAGGTGGACTTAAGTACAATGACTAGTTAGAAAATAGGGTTTTCAGTGGAAAATACAGGTGTGAATTGAGGAAAACAAAATTGAATTTACATATGTAATTCTCTAATTATTTTAGATGTAAACTTTGTTGGTACTTTTTTTTTTGTTTAGAATTTGTTAATTACTTTAATTGGACTCTGCACCTATCAATAATCACAGAAGGGACCTTTAAAGGCCATCTAGTCCAACCCCCCTGCAGTGAGCAGGGACATCTTCAGCTGAGTTAGGGTGCTCGGAGCCCCGTCCAGCCTGAGCTGGAATGTTCCCAGGGATGGGGCTTCTACCACCTCTCTGGGCAGCCTGTGCCCGTGTGTTGATGTGGCTTCTGTGTGTAGTGGATTCTAAAATCAAATGCCTTAAAAAATAAATTTAGCTGCAGAGAGCCACCTTTGCAGAGTTGGACACCTTTGTTCGTCACCTCCGGCCGCAGTTGCAGTTGCGAAGCCATGTTACACACATGCATTTTTGCTTGCAGTTCCGGATCAATTTTTGTTACTTTTACTAATATTCATCCTAAAAAAAAAGGAGGGAGGGGTGGTGGTTAATTGGTTTTACTATAGCTGTGAAAGCACACGCATTTTAGGGACTTCAGGTAACTTCTCAGCAGTACCCAGTGACAGGACAAGAAGCGGCGAGTGCAAACTGAAACACAAGAAATCCCGTCTTTTTTTTTACTGTGAGAGTGGACAAACACTGGAACAAATTGCTCAGGGAGGCTGTGGAGTATCAGTCTGTGGAGATACTCAAAACCAAACTGGACATGGTCCTGGACAACCTGCTTAAGCATCAATTGCAGAAATGGCCAAAGATTTAGCTTATAGTTTTCACTTATTTTTTACTCTTTTTAACTTTTAATAAACTTTAATTAGCTGTCTATCTTGCTGGTGCTTATCAGGAAAAAAAAAAAGTACGTGTTAGTGATGGGTTTCATAGTTTGATTAAAAATAAAATCCCTTCTCTGGGCAGTATATTTTTTTTTCACTTGTTGGAGAGGTTCAACCTGTTTATTATTTTCTGTGTTACCACCATACGTGGGCTTGGATGGGAACTGATAGGGAACTTCAGAAATGATAGTTAATACGTGCTCCAGGCACAGAATTAGTCTCGGTAAAAGGGTTTAGTAATTGATCTTTTTCAAATCGTAGGGTATCTGACTGAAGTATCTAAAAAAAAAAAAAGACAGTTTTCTCCACTGGGTGGTGCTGCTTGCCCAGAGTTGCGTTGCTGTCTCTAGCATCGTTTATGAGCAGCCCAGATGATTGGTTTGAACTTATGAGCTGAATTTTTTAACTGAAATATAGTATGTTGTTCCCTTTCTCGCTCTTAAGGCATCGTTAAAGAAACATTTCTGATAAAATTGTTGACTACACAGTGGGTTTTGTTGTTTGTTTGGAGAAGAGAGATGGTTTTATGGTTGCTGTATGTGGCATGAAGTTGTTCCTGGCTTTCTTAAATACTTCTCTAAAGATATATTGTCTTGTGTCTAGCTTATCATATGAAAATGAGAGTGTGTTAACCTGGCGGAAACGTGAGGATTAATCCCATAACGGTAGTTATGAGGCTTGAAATTCTTAGAGTAAAATTGCCGGGAAACGGAAGGTCTCTTAAAATTTTAAGCTTGAGAAATCTCTGCATTAGGTGCCCTTGTGTTTTGTTACCAGCGTCCTCCTGGGAGTCAAACATCTTGAGGCTTCTCTACAGAGAGATATTCAGGAAAATTAATAGAAATTAACTTTTGAAATGGATCAGTTGGACTACATCGAACAACTCGCTTTGGAAGTTAATTTAAATTCACGCATTCAGTTGACTTGGATTACCTCTACGGTGTGGACAAATCCTTAGATACATATGGTGGCTTTACAACTATAAGAATTTAATTTCTTGGGATTTGCAAAGTCACCACCTGGGAAACTAGTTACAGAGGGCACAACAGGATGTGAGTGTACTTAAACTGTTGTTTACAGTCAGATGTTAAAAAAGGCCGTGAACACCTTGCTTTTGGTGACTGAGCGAGGGAAGGTTGATGTTAATGGAGAAATGTTAAGCAAAGGGACACATTAAGAAGTATGGTTGAAAAAGAAGGCTGCTGCTTGGTTGGGCAGCGTAACCTCTGTCAAATTGCTGCTTTTTATTGTCGTCTTGTGTTGTTTGTTTCACTGTCAGCTACAGACAAAAGCGACAGCCAAGGTGTTCCCTGTTTTTATAGGGTTTAGCTTTCGCTGCTGGCTTGATAGCTTTTTAATTCATTCCCCCCCCAAAACTGGCTCCTTAGAGATCATTTGCATCTTGTGTGAGGGAAGATGGCAAAGCATGTTAATTGTCCCAGGTGCCGAGCTCGATGTTTCAAACACACCAGTAAATGAGTGAAGTGAGCAACGTGGCTAAGGGAGCCAGAGTTTTGGCTCTCGGTGGGGCAGCAGAGAACCCTTGTTTGCTTGGATGTTTAAAATCACAGTCTGCAGTGGCACTTTACCACTTTTCAGCAGCACAGGCAGGGCTGGTAGTAGATGCTTCTCTGAAAGGCTGCCGGTTGGAAATAAGTTGTTGTTTTCCTGGAGAGAAGTGCACCAAGCGAAGGCTGCGTCGATGCCTCTCGCAGCGCTTGGTCGTTTGACTTACTTAACTCTTCTTTATGGACTGTTTGGGGTTTTATGAAGCTCTTTATCAGACTGTTGCGTTTTATGGGGCTGCCACGCAGCACCTATTTTGAGCTTCAAATCTGAAGTGTTGCATTTTAGGGGAAGGTGACTTCCTGGTTGTGTTGAAAGCACCTCAGTGGTCTCGGCTTCTCGCTGACTTTGTATGGCCTTGGGTTAAGCGGTCGGTTTTGATCCACCACTTCCCATGGTGGTTAGTGAAGTTTGTAATCTTCCTGTCTCCCATTCTTTGTTTGTCTTGTTTATTTAGGTTCTCTTCCTGCGTATGTTGAGGTGCACACTTAAAGTGACGGCTTGACTGTGCTGGCTTTTCTTCCGTAATTTCCATGAAGCCAGTCCTGATGACAGAGGCAAGCGCACGCTTGTGGGCCTGGGGGACTGTAGTTTCTTTAATAGTCTGCGTAGGACAGAGGGGCCTTGATTCTCGTTTGGGTCTCAACACCTGCAATAATTTCCTGTGACTTTTCAGTTTCCAAATAAGCCATTTTATGGCAAATCCAAAAGCTGGAATCCCACTGGTTTGTGTTCTGTAATTCAGTTTCTGTGGTCACTTATATTTGGGTTTGTTTGGGTTTTTTTTCATTTGACTTTTGTTGTGAAGGCAGATATTAAAACTTCTGGTTAAAAGGAAGACTGGCTAGTGGATATCGTCCAGAACTGGGAAAGCCAGCACTGTAGTCTCATCTCTGATAAATTTCATGTTGAAGCCAGATGTAAAACAAAGTTGGAATAAATAGGGAATTTAGCCCTGTACACCTAACTGGGAATCCTTAAAGCCTTCCCTGAATTGCAGCCTATCGTTAGGGATGACAGCTTCCATTGCAATTTTACTTTGGCATTCTTCACATCAATAATTAACGCTTTCCCTGGCCTTTTTTCGCAATAGAAGGTTTAGTAAAACTAAACCCCCAAAACATGTTTAGTCTGGCATAAGTCCTGGGTTGTTTTGCAATGAAGAGCTTCTCTTGAATGGATGAAATACTAAGGACACTGTGGAAATGTCAGTGGAGCCTGTTTGAATTTTTCCTTCCTGCTCTAGCCCGTAGAAGACAGAAGTGGTCCGTGGATCCACGAAATAGCGCTTGGAGTAAAGATGAATCCAAATTTGGCCAGAAGATGCTGGAAAAGATGGGCTGGTCCAAAGGAAAGGTATGATCTAAAGGAGAGCTGTCTAGCTGAAAGGTGGAAGACTTCCAGGAGACTCTCGATCTCAGTGTTTAAAACAGCCATGTTCTTTCTGTTTAATTTGTTCTCTGAAGTGCACAGAGAATTTGGGCAAAGTTAGATTTCTGCAGTTTGTTGCAAAGGTAATGTCCCCAAGTAAGAGCTTGGGCCTGTCCTGCTTTCCAGTTTTTCTCCCTCTCTTTTGACAACGTAATGTCCCCAAGTAAGAGCAGGAGCTGGCACATTAAATCAGGCGATGGTTAAAGGCTTTAAGTTGCCATTTTACCCTCGGTTCTCTCCCTGGCTTTTGGTACTGTTTAAAGCAACTCCAGGGCCTGCTTTGATCTTTTACCTGTTTTTCAAGATTACTTCTGATCTGTTCCTTGAATGGCCAAAATGCAGCATTATGTGAGCTATATTCCTTCACAGCCCCAGCCCGTACGTGTGGGGTGAGGTGACTGGTCTCTCACACTGAGAATAATGTCTAGGTCAGTGCAGGCAGCTGCAGACTTCTCAGCTGCCCCTTAAAAGCAGTTTAACCTCCACAAAGGTGCCTCAGCAAAGCTGAGATTTGGGCCTGCACATCAGCGCGTTTAATGAAACAAAGGCACACAAAGCTCCCACGATACTTGTTTAATTCTTCTCCTAGATTTCCTCTCCCAGCCTTATTTTAAAAGGAGTAAAATTAGGATCGTTCTCAATTCTGTGAATGCATTAAAACTTAGAAAAATAAGCCTACCCTTGGATTTCTTAGTGTAGCCTGCTGTTGCCTCAGTTGTCTTACAGTCAGCCCATCTAAATCTGGCTTCTGACTGCCTCTTGTTCCACGAGAAAGCAGTGGCACCTGATTCAAAGGCTGCTGAAGTCAAGCAACTGGCATTGGTTTCACTAGGCTTTAGACCAGACTGGTGAGAGTGTGGAGCTTGAGTGCTGTCTTTTGATGCAAATTGTGTTTTTATGTGTGTAAGATTAAAATAGAATGTAAACCAGGAGTAGAAGCAATGCCGTTAAGTGTTCTGGTTGTATTTTAGGCAGCCAGCTTCTCTGACCATAGATCACACCTTTGCTGTTATGAACACTGTTTGTGTCAGGGTGTGACAGGAAGGGGGTGTCACAGGAAGGCCTCACGTTGTTTTCTGTCTATCACCCCCCTCACATCTTCTTCACAACAGTAAGTTTCCTACTTGAGCAGCCAGATCTCCCTTTACAACAGTTATGGCTGTAGGAGAAGGATTTATCTCTCCATTCCACTACAAACTTAGACAAATGGAACCTTGGCTGGATCAAATTAATGGGCAAAAGCCCATCTGTGCAGTGAAATTAAGCTGCTTACACTAGTCCCGTTATTAGGTGTGTTGGAATTGGGTCACGGCAGGATGTGTAGCCAAGTGTCCTGCTTGCTTCCATACTTTTTGGTTAGCAGGAGTTTCAAGGTAAATTTTCCACCCCACTGACCAAATAAACTCAATTGGGTTTGTAATAGCAACAGCCTTTTTTTTTTTTTCGGGTATGCTTTGTTGCTTCAAATACTGGATATGCCCTGGATCTATCCACAGGGCTTCTCTCCACTGCCCCACCACACACCCATTTGTTATATCCATACACTGAGCTGATGATTTGTTACTGGTGACAGATTAGGGAAAAAACAGGTAGATACCAGGAATAAAGTTTTAAACCAAGTGCTTTGTCTTTTTTTTTTTTCTTTTTTTCCCTCCCCCTGATCGTACAATTAAGAAGGATGATACTGAGCCTGAAGGTTGCTTCTCAGATTGGAATGATTGTGGGTTTTAGGACAGACAAACCCAACATTCGTTTGCTCCAATATCTTCATCAGTTTATTAGCGTGAATGAGATGGGAGAAGTTCTTTATGTCCTGCTAGCTCCAGTCTGACCCTTCCCTTCCCACCTCCCCCCCCCCCAACTTTGTTCTGTGTGGTATGTTCTATGTGGCATCTGTCTCCCAGCCATTACGCAGCTGCCTTCCTAATGACAGAGGTATTTTTGGTGAGAGGCATGTTCTTTTTATGTAGTGTCTTGTTATAAAACTGTAAACACTTTGGACTCGCCTAGGAATGTCAGGTGGCTTCCTGATTAATCACCCAACTACTTAAGGTTGTTGCTATTTTAGTGTTTATAATACTTTCCTGGAGGCTTAAGTAGTAAATTAAAAAAAACTTAATATCTCATGTGTGCTAATGCCTGTGAATGAATTCAGTTATAGGCAAGGAAATAAATAGTAAGTTGTGATTTCTTGCTGTATTTCATTGCAAACTGTCTTATGCCACAAAAGCTCGAATTGCTTAGTCACTGCTGCAAAATCCTTACATATTACCCTTAAATCCTCCTTAGGGTCTCGGGGCTCAGGAGCAAGGAAACACGGAACATATCAAGGTTCAGGTGAAAAACAACACGCTGGGGTTAGGAGCAACCGTCAATTACGAGGTGAGCGCTAGACCCAGGTAAGGAGATGGCTCCCGTTTCAGCTAAAGCGCCAGCTTTGTAATGGAACGTCGGTGAAATGTGTTGCCACGTCTGGTGGCAGCATGTACCTATGTGAACATCTCCGCAGAAACTCTTGACCTGGAATTTAGTTCTGCTTTGTTGCCTGTTTTAGGAGTAAGTACCTGCTTGGAAAGGTTACAGTGAATTCTGGGAGCAGGATGTTCAGTGGTTTTTTTTGATTTAATTTTTTTTTTTGGCTTCCAAGCAAATCATGGAAGTACTTGCTATCTCCCTGTGTCTTCTGCCCTGCTTAGCTTCATGCCTTCTGTCCCTCTTCCTGCTACAGTCCCCTTTCTGACTGGAGTTCAGGTACATAGGCAGAGCAGAACATGGTCCTAAAGGTGCTTGTCTCGTCGTCAACATCTTAAGTAACTTTGGTGTTGGGAAAAAAAAAAAAAAATCACACTAGTGTTTCCTGCCTACTTTTGAAATCATCTTGTGCAGATAGGGGACCTGCAGAGCCCGCAGCAGCTCAGTATTGTTTGAGGACTTAACAAACACAACCCTTATCATTTCTGCCCTTTGGAGTGACTGTAGCGAGCTGCTGTTAGTGTTGCCATCTGTGGAGTTTCTGAGGGTCCCTCCCACCAACAAGGACTGAGTATATACAATTAAGTTACTTCTTAGAGTGCAGAGTCTTATCATCTGTTTTAGCAAAGCTTCTGTTAGTTCTGAAGACTTTCGCCGTGTGTTCACGTGGGTGATGTTTACAGGACAACTGGATTGCTCATCAGGATGACTTCAACCAGCTTCTGGCTGAACTGAATGATTGCCATGGACAGGGTGAAACAGGTAGGTTCACGCTTTGCTCGAGCAGGTGCTGGAAGCTTAGCAGAGTTTCCATTCTTTGTCTGAAAAGGCTAGCTGAGGCCCAATCCTTTGGCCTGCTAATAGTCTCCTTGCTGAGGCTGACAACACCCCCTTCTTCCTCAAAATCAGTGGACTCGAAGGACGTGTTGCCATCCATGACCGTGCTCCAGTTTGTCCGCCTGGGTACGTAGATCTCAGCGGGTCGGTTTTTCTCTCCGTCAGGCCTCTGGTAAAGGCTTTTTATTGAGGAAAACAACCATAATTTTGAACTTGTTTATTTTATCCAGGACCACGACATAGGGGACCTTTTTCTGGGATGTACTACAGCAGCACTTGTTTCTTTGTAGAGCAACCAGAGCCGTGTGAAGGCTCACAACACAATCACTCACCATTGCAATGCCTTTGCCTTCTTGTCACTAATGAACTGTCACACCTGGCTTCCACGCTCTGGTGGTTTCTTAAATACCTACTTTTCCTGTCCTCAGAGCTGCTGCGTAGCTTTTGACTCCAAGTTATGCATCTTGCTTTGAGTGTGGGGTATAATGTGATTTTTGTAGCGCACACAAGTAGGGAAACTACACAGCTTTCCCAAAAGGGCTATTTATAAAGTCTTAATTTTGAAAAAGCTTTGTACAAGTTTGACCTTGGTTTGTAAAACTCAAAATTATGAAAAACTGGTGGGTGTGAGCCTACAGAAAGAGCCATACACATCAAATGGTTTGTCATCTCTCCTTTGGTTAGACTCAAGTTTAAACTCTGTGTATCTAAACAACTCTCTGTGGAGTGTTGTTCAACCAAGGGCTTCTGTTTGGACACAGCAGCCTGTCCACATGCTGCTAGTGGCAGAATTGCCAGCTATTTAGCAACGGTTTATTGCCAGAATTTAGCAACTGTTCATTCATTCATTCTTAACATTTGAGCACAGAAGGTTTTCTAGGAGAGGAAAGGTAAAAAGAGGAGGAGGAAAATCAGTTGGCAAGAAGGATCAAACTTGGTTTCTAATTCTGGAAACCTAGAAATAAAAGTCTGAACCTGATGCTCTAAAAACACTTTTTAAAAAATTGCTGTGTAAGTTATCCTTGTGCATTGGAGCCCTAATCATGGGCTGAGGCCACGTGGTGCTAGGTGCTGAAGTCCTCAAGAGGTAGAATAGCATATCGTAGGGAAATTCCAAAAGTTCCTTTCCACCTTTGTAACTAAATCCTGCCCAAGTTCCAACTTGAGCCATGGGAAGATCAGTTAGGTGTAACTGGTGGGAAACCTGCAAACTGATGAGCAGAGAGCTGAAATGACTTGCCCAAGGACACAATGAGTCAGCACAGAGGCAGGTTCATTGAGCAAGGCTGTCTTGTTCCTAAACCTCTGCAGTATTCCCTGCGTCATCTGTACTGATGCAAAGTGGCCCCTGAAAACTGTATTTCTCCCTGTTTTACTCAGTTAATTTTCCTTGGTCTTTTTAGGAGTTGGGACACGAGTTTTCAGTCACTGAGGACAAATTTGGGTGCACATTTTGAGCATTCCCGGTCAGAATCACGTTTGGTGATTTGCAGACTGCGAGCATGGCTCTGAAACTTGTTTTTTTGGCAATTGTTTAAGCTGGCAGAACTCATCCAGATAACTCTGCCTGCAGCTGTGCTGCGGGATCAAATGTTACATTATTGGCCATCATCCAGTTTCAAATTGCATTAAAAGTCAGCTGAAAAACTTTATTGTTCTTAAATAACTGGTGTAGTTGCCAGAGTTGGATTGCAATTAGAGATCTGGAAGGAAGGGCCCCATGGTGGTTAATATGCCAACATTCAGATACCCTCAATGTGCATATTTTAGCTTTCCTTTTTTTTTTTTCCAAGCTGAGCACCTAGTGAGGAGTTTTGATTCCTGGCTCTTTTGCTGGAATGCTAAATGATGATGACTGTGCCCCTTTCCCATTCCTAAAATGAGGCAACAACATGCTGGCTGTGTCTGTAACGTGCTTTGGAATATTCATTGGTGTTGGGTTCGCTGTAGAAATGACACGTGGCTTTATTGCTATGACTAAATTGCTTTAAAAAGCACATTAGTATTCCTGCTCAGCTTCCTCGGTTTGTCAGAGGATTTACCAGTCGCTGGAAGACACAGGGATTTACCTACCTGGCCATTGCAAGTGCCAGCACGTTTCAGTAGTGAAATTCCTCCTTGAAGGCACAAGGCGGTGCTGCTGCCCCTTTTGCTGTGAGGATAAAGTGGAGGAGGAAGCCCCGTGGAAGTCCTTTGCTGTGTAATGTTCTCTTCAGCACAAGTGGGTTGGAGGGCAGAATCAAAGTGCCTCGTCTCTGGTCAGGATGTTCTAGTTGTGGTGCTTACTTTCCCCCTGGACCCTTTTGTATTGAGGATTTTCAAGTTGACTGCGAACTCTGTATAAAACTGGTTTTGCTAGTCCTTCCTCTTCTCTTTAGAGCTTTGTGTATAAATGGAACAGTAGATCTCGGACTGCTTTCTGGTCCGCTCTCCACTGCAGGCTGCAGATTTCATTTTTAGCTCAGTGACTCTGTCATCAGGTGTCACTACCTATCAAACAGTGAAGTGCTGTAATTCCAGTGTCAAAAAAAGCTTGGTCTGCAGAGCTTTCAGGGGTGGGATCATATGAAAAAGGTGACTCAACTTGGCCCTCAGGGTATGGGTTGATTTCCTTACCCATCCCAGTTGCCACTGGGAGGAGGAAAAAAACATCTCACCAGAGCAGCTTCTTGTAGAGTTACAGCGCAGAGAATCCTGTGGTGCCTATTTCTTTCCAGGACAGGACTAATAAAGTAGTTATTAACTGGACAGCAGGTTACCTCCTTCTGAGAATTTCTTGTAAACTAACAGGCTCTGCGGATGCAAAGAGTACATCTGTACCAGTAAAACAACCTGCCACGGCCCAGGAACTTGATTATCTCTACTGTGAAGTAGTTAGACTAATCCTTCATAGGGTTTTGACCTGCACAAGCTAACATTCTCCCAAAACAAGCCCTGAGTGAATTTGGGACTTAGCCAACCCCAGAGACCGTTCCCAGCGGACAGTTTAGAAGCAGCCCATCTTCTGGAAGCTAGGAAAATTAAATAATATGAATGTGGCAATTTGTTCTAGCTGGCCTCAGGGACAGAAAAGCTCTGCCACCGTTTAATTTCCTTACATAGATGTATCAGACTACGTCCAGAAAGAGGCACTTTGTGTAGCGTTAGAAGTGTGAAGCCTGTCTGTGTGATTTCCCAC